ATCAAATCCGACCCAGTGCAGATGAGACACAAAGCCGCGAGCTAGCAAGCAATAGTGGAAGTAACGAGACGAGCAGCGTGGCAAGCAACACTGGAAGCAGCGAGGCAAGCAACACTGGAAGCAGCGATGCGAGCAGCATTGGCAGCAACGTGGCAAGCAACAGTGGAAGTAGCGAAGCGAGCAGCATTGGCAGCAATGTGGCAAGTAGCATTGGCAGCAACGTGGAAAGTAGCATTGGCAGCAGCGTAGTAAATGACGGTCAGGAAGCAACGAGTACATTACATCCACTTTAATCAACTGAACATTTGGTACAGGATACCAATCGACACTGAGTCCAATCCGACCCAGTGCAGTTGGGGCGCTTGGCCGCGAGACAAACAACATTGGTAGCAGTCAGGCGAGCAGCGTGGCAAGCACTGCAGCAACCAGTGTGACAGGCAGTGTGGCAGGCAGCGTAATCAGCAGCATGAGAAGCAACATGGCAAGCAGCATTGGCAGCAGCGTTGCGGGTAACATGGCAAGCAGCAAAGCAACCAGTGTGGAAAATGGTGGTCATGAGGCAACGAGTAATATATATCTACACGCTTTTATCAACTGAACATTGGGTATAGGACACCAATCGACACTGAGCCAAATTCGACCCAGCGTACTTAAGACGCTTGTCACTGATGCACACAGTCGTACTCGACCCGGCGACCTTTCAGGTATTCGAATAACACGTTGTTGAATGAATCGTATCTGTATTGATCTTTTGGTTTATGGGTACAGGGTGTCAAGTGAGACTGAGTCAAATCCGACCTAGTCCAGATAAGGCGTCTACCCCAGATGCACAGAGTCGTACTCGACCTAGTGACCTTTCAGGTATGAATAACAAGCATTGAGCTAGACGCCTGGGACATCCCGAGTTGATTTCCATTCTCCGTGTCAATACTGACATGCTGGTGTACGCGAACAGAGGTCCAAGCGAGACTGGCTCAAGTCCGATCCAGTGTTGATGCTGTACCCACCACAGAGAGCGGTGCTAACGATGCATCTAGTGATAATCGATCCCACCATTTTGCTGGTAGAGTAGTCACAAGGCTTGGTCAGTTTCTAATTTTAATGCTGCAGGCTCGGAAATGCCCAAGTTTGCGATTGAGCGAAAATCGAAGCGAGTGTGGCGGCAAACCAAGATCTCAACGAGTGGTAATCGCTGCAACGTTTCTCACGGAGCCCGCGACCATGGTCATGATGTCATTGATCTGACCAAATCCAACGCTACTTTTGACGTCATTGATCTCGTGAGCTCTGGCGCCGACGAATCGGACGACGAGTCAGAGGACGATCAAGGAGTCTTGTTGGACAATCTTGAGCTTCACACCCAACCTGTTGATCCTGAAGGTGACAGCTTGGGCAGGTCTCGATTAATCCAAGCGAATCGATTTTTCCTCGGCCAAGCCCCGTTTCGTGCCGCGAACAGGACTGGAAGCACAATTGCCCCCCCGCCTCCGGTGGCGGAGACAAATGTGCTGGCCCAAATTCCACTCAGTGGTGCGAACTCTAGAGGAAGTGCTCGACCCGGTGTGGCAGAGCATGCGGACACGAATGCGCATGGGCAAATTCCACTCAGCGATGGGAATGCTGGAGGAGGTGCTCGACACGGCGCGGCAGAACATGCGGACATGAATGCGCTAGGCCAAAATCCACTCGGTGGTGCGAACACTGAAGGAGGTGCTCGGCCCGGTGTGGCAAGATGGAATACTCCTCGTTTCGCCGACGAGATGGAATACGTGCCGCGATTGGACGAGAACACTACGTATGACATCGATCACTACCGCTTGTCCATCAAAACCAACGATTTGCTTCAAATTTGCCCAAGCGATTGGGAGTTGGGGTGTCGAGAAAGGAAGCTGACGGACAAGTCCAGTGAAAAGAAGTGGTTGAATCGTCATGTGCTGCTGCTGACGAAACCATGTTTCGTCTACTTGCACAAAGACTATGCTGCTGCCTTTTTGTCTGCGTACAACGAACAAAAAGGGACCTTTTACGTTGCCCCGGTGGCTGTGCCCGGAAAACCTCTCCCAACGCATATCATCCATTGCTCTACAAGCCGGTATATCAGCTCGACGGATTGTGTGGGGATTTTGAATTCATTGGCTGCCAACATAAGCCTCCGAGTTATCGGATACGGTGCGAAAGCTGGAACTGACAGCTACGCTTGGATTTGGGACGTTGCAAGTCGGAGTTCAGCCCCAGATGAGCGTCCAGTGATTGACCTTGGAGTGGAGTTCAAGGTGCCTCATCTTGCTGTGTTTGCTGCTCGGAAACACATCTTTATCAAGTACGGCCATGGCCCATACAATGGATATGACTCCATGCTGTGGATGAATTTCATGGATTATTGCCATGAGCTTCAAGACTGCGTCCATGGGCAGTATGCTGTTGGTGGTGGCCTATCGTTGTCCAACTCGTCGCTGGGAACAAGAAGGGCAAACAAGATCAAGCTCTATCCAAAAGTCGTACACTTCATCAAGAACATCAACGAAGGACGCATTGCATCGATGCCTCACCCTTCCACCAACCAATTGTGCAAAAGACGTTTCGAACACCTCGAAAAGATATTCGAGACGTATTTCAAGCCGGATGTGGCCCATCAGTTTCAAAACCAGTTGACGGGCTTTCGGGTGGAGATTACAGTTAACGGCTTTACGTTGGACGATTGCATCGATCACTTCGAACGAGAGTTTGACGAACTCTTTCACCACGTCAAAGTCATGAAGTACCCGCTTCCGAAGTACTTGGCAAACGTTGAGCGATTTGTGAATGCCATGAAGTCCATTGGCCCTGCGAACGGACGAATGGCGGATCTGTCGTCGGACAAGTTCAAATTGCCTTTGGCATTTGTAAGTCAAGAAATTGGGATGACGAGCTACATTTGCCACTACTTCCTGATGAGTCGCGCATACATTATGGACGGCAGTGGACTTTGGAGTTGGTGCTCGCCTGATGACGATGCGGCAGTTGATGACTCATTGCCACAAGGCGAACTGCTAGCGAATGCGACCGACCAAGACGATGACTGGACTCAATTTGAACTGGCGTACAACGAAGAGCTACGCGAAACAATGCTGGACATATTCCTCAACATCTACGTTAAATCAAACGGAAGCGGCTTGTCAAGAGTGTTCAAGTCGCGTGATAAACGAAGTGGACGATTCAGTGAATCCAGCAAGTCGGTTTTTGAGTTGGCCGAACGAATTGCTCGAGAGAACGAACGCGAATGGCGAAAGCATTTCCTTTGCAAAAAGAAGAACCTGTACGAGGGGTTGAGCGCATCTGATAAGTTGTTGGCGTTTCGTCGTTTGGTTGCCGACAAGAATGTGCGTTGCACTGTCGAGGAAAACAGAGACGACGAGCATCCGGGCTTGAATGCCTTGCAAAATCCTCCACTTTTTGCGTCGAATCGCGACATGCAGCGTGCAAACCAACTGCTATTGTTACAAGTGGTTCGTCAACCCGCAGCATCGAATGGGCGACGTAGTCACCACGAGAATGTCTTGGCGGCGTCAAGTTCTACCTTACCAGCTGAGGTCCCGCGCACTACGCAATTTCGTGAGATTGCTTCCAGGGAACGAATTAGTATCCTTTCAACATTCCGTGGTATTGACGCTGGCAACCCAATGCCATCAGCACCTCGAACTGAACGACTTGGTCATGGTCTACCAAGAGCGAAGGACTTGTACTGGCTCAACATGGCCCAAAATGCATCACGGCCGAAGCGCACTCAAAGCGCTATAACCAGCTACGTGGGGAATGAAAGCAATTCCAAGCGACCACGGGATAGAAGCTTTCGGTGTGTTGATGATGCATGGGATTCCGACAGCGACGATGAAGACACCACCGAAATCAATGTGCGAATTCAAGGCGCTCAAGGCGCAGCGGTTGCTGAAGTCAATGTGAATGTGGCCGTCGAGCCTTCCACGTTGAACCAGTTGGATGTGCACGTGCGTAACGGTTACAATGATGATCAAAGCAAGCTTTCGGATGAAGGAAGAAGGATCTATCGTCGAGTTCGGATCAACTCACATTCAAGTTATGGGTTCAGAGCTCACCGATTGAATGGAGCTCCATACCTGACAAGGCCAACAAAGCTAGCGCTCGTGCAAGAAATCGAGCGAAGCAAGATGGACTGGTCCAAGACGCTTATTCTCAAATTAGGGATTTGCCCTGAACGCCATTAGTACTCATAGCATGTATGCTTGAGCATACATATACTTTGCGGGTAGATGTAGTTAGGATGTCCTTAGCGAACTAGACTGTCATAAGATGTATGTTTTCAACGTCAACTGCTCATTGTTGAAACCAAATATCGGTTATAGCACTGCTAAATATGACTATCTTAATTAACCGGTGTCGCATTGCTGCATTATCCGGATACACTAAAGCGAATTAGGCTCAGTGTTACAGTATGCATTGTCAACGTGCTTCACTGTGAAACTTAATACATTTCACTTGATTTTAGTATAGTATGATATGTTCCAATATGATTTGAATAACATATGCATACCATTCATTTTTGGATTCAGGATATCGGATTATATTTCATCTTCATATACTATACAAAGCCCAAGTATATTAAGAGCGTGCGTTCACGCGTGGGAGTTCAAATTGTAGCCATATAAACCAATATGGGTGAATAAAGTAGATTACCGTAACTCTATCGCGTTTACTCGAGATAACAAGTAATGGTGTCAAAATCCAAGCAGCCCCGAGGAGACCCTAGCCGCGTTGGCAGCCGCACGTCCACCCGAAGCTCTGTCAGCGTTGCCACCGATGGTTCATTACCTACTGGTACACAGAAATAGACTAATCGACAAACAACATACTTAGAATACGGTATACCTTGATATTTGTATGGTGGCTCTTTGACCTTTAGTATTGCATTCAATACTAATATACGGGTATTTCGCACAGGGGATCCAGTGACACCGCGTCCAAGCGGACTCGGTGAAAACCCAAGTTCGACACCTCCATTCGACGCACTGAGCCAAATTGGACCCAGTGCATCAGGTACAGTACACAGAAATAGACTAATCGACAAACAACATACTTAGAATACGGTATACCTTGATATTTGTATGGTGGCTCTTTGACCTTTAGCATTGCATTCAATACACATAAATCGGTATACATAGAGTCATCGACATAACCTGTTGAGTATATATTGGCATTTTATGGAATATTGATATAATCACAGGAAATCAAACCGAATTGCCCGCCCTTTACGTTGCTCAATGGTCCTCGCTGGAGAATGACTTAGAAGACATCGCCAGCTTGCTGGATCGCCCACAAGTTGAAGGAAATGTACTTGTCGCTCGCGGTGGCAAGAACATTAAACTTGTAGCGAAAAAGTCGAAGTGGAAGGACGATGAAGGAACCGTTCGCAAGCGGAAGAAAATCGAAGATCACATCAAGGACGCCAAACTTGGCTGGCCGCAGTACGAGCCAAACCTGGATGCCAAACATGTAATGGAGCAGTTGGATAAGTTCGAAGTTACCGTACGCAAGTTCAACGACGACATCGCTACGCCAATTAAGGTCAGCAAGAAGAACAAGAACCCTATTCCGACTACCAACCCCAAAAGAGCGGCGGGAGTTTGGGCGAAGTTATCCGACTTAAAGAGTCAACGGGTGGACGTGACGGAAATCGGCGAGTATCGTCCAGCAAGTACCATGCTCAACCTCAAGGAAGTCCGGTCCGTTCGTCCCATTCGTGCGGATGAAGTCGCAAAGCACAAGAAGATGTTGATTGCAGAAGGCTGGCTTCGACACGAACCTGTGGTGTTGAGCGTTCCTGGACCCAACGGAAAGAAGTACGGAATTATCGACGGGCAGCACAGGATCAAGGCGATTATGGAGTTGTGGAATGACCGTACCCAAGACGCGGGAAATGCCCTGTCAAGCCTGATGGAAAGTGGCCAATCCGTTCCAGCAGTTCCGGCCCTGGTACTTCAAAACGCATCACCTCACGATGTGATTCAATTGGGGCTGAGCCACATCGACATGCACAAGCATGGGGCGTCCAAGGAGGCATTCTATTGGATGGAGCGGTGCATTTGGTTTTACGATTGGCAGAAGTGCGCCGGTGGACGACTCTTCAATTCGTTTGAATATGGAGAGAAGTTCGGCAGTCAAGACCCGGACGCAGAGAGCTGCCTTGCCGAGATGCAAGCCTACCACGTCGACGTATCGGGAGTCCCAATCAAGTTCACGTCACTGTTCCGCACAGCGGCGCGCATGTGGTACCTGGAGTTGTATGAGCTCATGGCTGCCGAGTTGGATGACCCGTTCAAGAAGAAGTCAAAGCTCGGATGTGAACCCTGGCGCATATGTTTTGAAGTCCTGCAGAACTACTACTGGTTCTTCAAACATGTGTGCCAGTGGGAGCCCGAAGACCGCACCAACGTCTTGAGGAAGTTGCTGCAAATCTTCCTGCTCTGCGAAAGTGGGTTTCGAAAGGAATCACTCGACGGGGACAAACTGCGGCTGACTGGAGCGAAGAAGTACATCGTATTCCAAGAAAGTCAACTCCACGCGATTTTCAAGTGGGGAAAACATGATGGCTCAATCCCCGCAGTAATCCTGAAGAAATACAACTACGTCGAGCGGCCAAAGGACAAACCAACCGGTTATACAGAAGAACCTCAAATCAACGCCGATGTATGCTACGTTGAAGAAGACACGACGTTCATTCCAAAACAAAAGCAGCGGGCAAAGCGAACGCGACCAACTCCTGCAGCGGAGGCGTTGCCCAGTGCAGATGTCGATTCCGATGTGGACAAACTGCCAAAGAAGCAGAAACGAGGTTTGTAAATGTGACACTCTCAACCTCTTAGAATATATGTAGGAATTACCGAAGTTCATGTTACCGTACGGAATGCACAACGACGACAAGGAGTCGGGTATGATGTAAATCCGCTTGGAACAACGGCTTCAAGTTTGCCGGTCACCGCCCTGGAGGGTGAAACATGCGACACGAAGAAATGGGTTTCTTTCGAAGCCCTTCGCACTAAAGTCAAGTTTAACTGCGTTGTACCCCAAGAGAAGTTCCTAGCCACGTTGGAAGAGAAGCTCGAGACATTCAAGAAGTCGAAGGCCTCCAGTCCACTTGTCCAAGTTCCTTTCAAGGCGTTTGAGAAGATGAAAGCGGCTGGAATGGTCTTGAAGCCAGCGTATGTTACGTTGCAGACCGACAGCTTCGAGCGTTTCGTTCAAGAAGTGAAGAACAAGCCTGAAATCATTGAAATCTCCTCCGACGAGGATGAAGACGGCGATGAGAACGAAGGCCTCGATGAAAATGAACCCATTGACGTGTAAAAGCCAACCACGCTGCCACGGTGCTGCATATTAACGATAGACTGCTAGATGTAGTTAAGGAATCCTAAGCGAACTAGACTGTTCTTTAAAGTGCCCAGTTCATATGATGCTGTCTTGGCATTTGTACGTCTGCTTCCCTATGCACTGAGTCAAATTTGACCTAGTGTCTCAGATGCAAATAGAGTAGTGCAGTGTCTTTATTCGGGAGGTATTAGTGTCTGGGGATGTGGTTGGAGTGAGGGTAGTGAGGGCATCGGAAAAGGGGCTAACAGTTGGGGGCTGTGATGGTGTCCTCTGTGATCTGGGATCCAGGAGTTGTTGCTGAGTTAGGAGAGCCATTCTACATGTTCCCTGTGTCATATATCTAATGAGCTAGATTGGGGCTAAGGCGATGGGCTATAGCTTAGTGCGTAATTAGATGGCAGTGACACTTGACCATGCGACGAACTGTGAATATCGTGCGGTGTGCCGCGAGGAATGATGCAAAGAAGCCTATCAAGCTGTTTCGAGAGGAGAGAGCTGTAGGTCATTGACGGCCTGGTTGTCATACTGTGGTGACTTTGTCGATTTATAGCGTAATCATACGCGAAGGAAGGCCAGATACAGCCTTGAGTGCCACACCACCCCCTGGATCATGCCTCGAGTTCCTCCTTCATGGATTTGGATCTTATACCTCTCCCTCACCCTCAGTGTAGACTCTAATAGCATTTATACACTACCTTATTATTAAATACAGCAACTGTTTCCCAATGCACTGAGTCAAATTCGACCCAGTGTGCCAGTTATATAAGAGCATCTCCAACACGGGACCCTATCCCATCCCCAGAACTTGTTAGAATAGTGGCACCTTCGAATCTTTCGGATGATTTGGGGATAAATCCGGTGTTATTGCCCTCATTTCGCCTGATTTGACTGGGTTGTCCCAATAACTGCAGATTGTGGGGACATCCCGCTGATTTAGGGACAAAATTGTCCGACTAAGTCCCTAATCATCCGTACTGTAACGTGAAGTAAGGCTATAACCGAAGTTTTGAGTTAAGAAGTTGGGATAGGGACCCGCGTTGGAAATGCTCTAAGAGCATCTCCACCGCATCCCCAAATATTTCTGTCCCCATCCCATTTTGGAACCTGTCCTCTTCCCAATTTGTCGCTTAGAAGTGCAGGGAATGATGTCCAGAGGCTGCAAAGTTCATTCTGGATTGGAGTGGAGCCCTTTTTGCATCGCTCTAGTTGTAGTTAACAATACAAAGGTTAACGGCGGTGTGGCAAGCCGATGGTCGCCATCGCCTTGCCGTCGAGTTTAACAAGTTCCGTCACGCCGTCCAGTACTGTACTTGCAAGCCTACTTATCGGAGCTACTACGTCGTACTCAGTATGCATAAGCACCAAGTTATAGAATGTAGAGTACTAGTATATGTTAATGCTGCGGGCGTTTGTCGAAGATACGCTGCCGCATAGGGTTTTGCGGTCTCGCCTCTCGGGCAAATCCCCGTCCACTGCAGCGTTGGAACAACCGGACACCGGCGTATACTGCTGCAGCGATATAGACCACGAAGTACCCACAGCGGTGACCACCGCAGTATTCACGTCGGCAGAATGCAAGCGATTGTCCGCCGGACCCTTGAACACTGCTGCAGCACTCACAGACGACACCACAGATCGGAAGCGACTACCGGCATCCAAGGCGGTCTTAATGTCCGGCACTTGTATGGCGACATACCGGAGTCTATCGTTGCATTGGCAGCGAAATCATCCCCATGCGTCACGTTATCCAATGGCGATGAGGTGTTGTACACGATGCCGGCCGGTCGGTATCCTAACCCGACATTGGAAACTGCACGAATGGACTTGCAATGTACAATACAAATAGTAGCATATTTACAAATACCGTGACGGATCTGTGATTTGCCGATTTTGAGCTCCTTTCAATCGACCGTATCTGGCGAAGTTCAAATTATCTCGACGTAAAAGTTGCAGTGCCAAACTCACTTTATTTAGCTCTATAGCATCGTCCGAAATCAAATCAAGTGTAAGAGTGTGAATCAGGGCAAATAAAATGTCAAAGTTAGGCGCTCAAACAGGCGATCGGTGATTTGCCGAAATTTAACCTTGAATTCAGTATTGGAATTTTAGGGCTTCGTTGAAACAAAATGATTGATTTATAGAGCAATATTATACGTATGAATGAAGTAATAATATTTTACAGGTCATACTTGATTTGAAAACAGGTGATACCCTCTTTAAAATAGTACTATACCCATAATAAGGTTTCGAAGGTGTCAGTTGTTGCAGGCTTTTATTTTATCCAATCATATCAATTCTTGAATTCTATTGGATAGTGCAGCTCGGCAATCACCTATCTTTCGACAAATCACAGATCCGTCACGTAGTAGCATATTTGTTGGGATAATTTATTGGGATATCCCAATAGTATGCAATTTTTGGTACAAAGTGGATGTCCCAACCCCAAAGTTGGATTTTGGGACATCTGGTGGGGAAATTTTGTACCATCTGATATCTGATATCTAGCTTCCCGAAATATGATATATAACGTTGCACAATTGTATAGTATACAATTGCCTTGACAATTGAGGCGATGATTTCGCTGATGGGAGTTCGCATTTGCAGGAATTGTAACTTCCTATTTCATAATTAGCTAGATATCAGGAGCTCTGTCGCATTAATTTGAGACATACAGCGATGCAGTCAAAAGCAGTGGCCGACAGTGGTGGGGGTGCAGTTGTGGGCAGCCCGGCGTGGGTTACTTCCGATCAGGTGCTGGCGGAGACTCGTTCACTTTGGCGTGAATTAATGTCATTCTACGACAAACCCAAAGTAATTTTATATCCATATTAAATTTCATTGTTTTAGTGTTGAATAATGTGATGTTGTGCAATTAGGAAGTGAACAACATGACAGCAAAACATTTCCTGAAATGGAGAAATCTCTTTAATGCGGCTAATGTTGGCCCAAGCTCGATTCACCAGCAACCCCCCGGCACGATGTTCTTCCCATACATCCTTTTCAAAGCTCCGGAGGAAGCGCGTTTGCTGGCCAAATGCCTTCTAGGCAAAAAAAATCGCCCTGCTAATATCAAGCAGTTTTGTGGACAATGGAACTCCTACGTCAAGGGTCGAGTGGGCGCACGTGCATCCTCTGAAGTGATGGACATGCCCCCTGCTGATTTCAGTAATTATATCTATATTATAATATTTTATATTTCAAATCTGTATGAAATAAATAGGTCATGAATTTTTCCTCCGGCTCAAGAGCCTCGAAGAGCAGAATGTGCAGCTCTTTGCAGAGCTGGAGCTCATGCATACGACTGTGAATCATTTGACAAGCGAAAACAAGGCCTTATGGACCCATGTCACGGAAAAACGCCTCGCGACCGAGGTTTTTCAAAAAGTCGAACGCCTGGAGACACGCATGCGGGACGTGGAGGCGACCCAGCAGCGCAACGCGTTATCTTTCTACCTGAAGGTTGATGGGAGAATTGAAAGCCACGCCAAGGGCGAACTGACGGTTCCTGGTGAACTTCGCCTCGAAGACCGAGTCCAAGAGGACATTCACCTGGCGCGACTTATCAACAAGCGGCGGATGGAAAATAAGTGAGCATCCAAAATACAACATTAGAAGAGACGTAGTTAGGATTTTTCTAATGAACTGGTCTTTTGTTGAAAATAATTCTTATTAGCCAATCATACAAATTTTGGTTACATCTAATAATGCATATATCGTCAAGTCCTTGCGCATGTTTGACACGTTATATGAAAAATTGAGCCTCGTTCATCTGCATATTTTGTACTTCTACCATGTTGATAATACACCAATCACAAGTAGTTTTGTCAACCCCGAAATAATATAATAAATATAATATTATAATTCGAATCACATTGCACTTTAATTTTAACATGCGAAGCGGCGTGATGGTCGCGGCCACGGCACGATCGTGTCAGTTAAGAGCGCTAGTTAGATTCACATGTCGTTGCTTCGTATATCTTACAGTTGCATCGTAAGCTACGCGCTAGGCTGAAAAGCGCAATAGCAGAGGCTTCCAATGTTCATTGATGGCAAATTTGACCAAGGAGCTCGATGGTGGGTGGCTGGTGTGAGTGTTTGACTTAGAGGAGCCCCGAGATATTCACTAGACCACACACATACATGCATATCTCTCTAGCCCGCTAAAATGCGCATTCCCGGAGGATGTCTATCTGCCCCTACATGCATGCGCCGACAGCCATCTATGTGGCGCGCGGACATTGTCCGCAACAACAACAAAAACGTGCATGCCAAAAAAACAAAAAAACCTCATATTTAACGTCAAGTTTCAGAAATCCGCAACACGTATGGGCGTATGATTTCGGACTAGAACTTCCGGATAATTAATACACCTCAAGCGTTTTTCAATTTGTCGGCGTTTTATTCTCTTCGGGGTTTCGGGGTTTCGGGGTTTCGGGGTTTCGGGGTTTCGGGGTTTCGGGGTTTCGGGGTTT